AATATTTTTTAATTTAATTTTTATTTATTAAAGATCTTAAATATCTAATGTTTATATAAATTTCTTTTTTATATTTTATAATAAGATTTATTATAATATAAAATTTAAAATAAATTTTAATTTTATAAATAAAATTTATATTATAATTTAAATAAAAGTTTATAAAAAATTATAAAATAAAAATTTTAAATTTAATTATTTCTTTTGGAGTAATTTAAAAGTTTATTATATTTAAATTAATAAAAATAACGTTAATATTTATTTTATTGTTTATATAATTGATTTTAAAAATTATAAGTAAGATATTTATAATTATATTAATAATATCTTTATAATATTGAACAGGAGTTGGTATCTCCTACAGAGTATGGCATATCACTTCAACGTCTAGATCTTCGTGAAAGGTCCTAAACAACTAATGATAGCACTATATTCTGGAAGAACTATAAGGATCTATTAATTAAATAAAATATATAAAATAAATACGCAAAATAAGGCTATAAGCTATAAATATAAGAAAATAACGAATGTATTTATATTAAATACATAATTAAATGGTAATAATTGTGGCTATCTAATCAGAAGAATATAACAAATATTAGACCTTTATATGGCCTATAACCTAAGATTACATAATAATACCCTTGCTCTTGGCAATGTAGCACCATACCAATTCAATATAATAATAATGAATATAAGTTTTTTAATAAATTATTTATTTGTTTTAGGTAATGTTTTTGGAAATATTGGAATAATTTATTATATATAATTAATATTTAATTATAAAAGTTATATTTGGATTTAATTAGTATTAAATAAATTATATTAAAATTGGTAATGTTATTAAATTTTTTTATTATTAATAAAAATGTAAAATTTAAAAGGATTGGTTTAAATAATAAGATTAAATTTAAAGTATAGTTAAAATTTTCTATTATAAAATTATTAAATAGTTTAAGATCTGTTATTTAAAAAGTTTATTTTAAAGGTTTAAAGGGTTTAAGTTTAGGTTTTGGTTCTTTGGAATAGCCGAATTTTGATAGATTATAATTTTTATAATTTAAGTAATAATTATTTAAAAAATAGTTAAAATTTATTATATAAATTTTTTATTAAAATTATTATTAGTATAAGTAATAATTATTATAATAATTATTTTATTAATTTATATAATTATATTAATTTTATTAATTTTATTAATTTTGATTTTATTATTAATTATTTAAAGTTTATTAATTTGGTATTTATTATTATAATAGTTGGTTATTAAAATATCTTTAATTAAAATATTTTTATTATTAAATTTAATTATATTATTAATTTTATTAAAGGTTATAATTATTATAATTTTTATAATTATAATTATTATATTATTTTTTATTATTTTATTAATTACGGTAGTAGTTATTTTAATCTTTATAATAATCTTGGTATTGTTATAATAGATATTTATTAATAATTTTATCTTTGAAATTATTATGGAAATATTTACTATGGTATATAAATTAAGGTATAAAAATAAAATAATCCATTTATTTATATTTTTTATAATTTTTATAATTTTTAAAGATGGTAAAATATATTATTAAGGTAAAGTTTTATAAAATAAATTTGTAATTATTTAAATAAGTTAAGAATTAACCAAGTATAGTATTTAAATTAGATTTTTAAAATTATAATTATATATAAAAATTAAAGGTATTAAACGTATTAAATAATTAGTTAAATAAAAAGAGGTTATAATTTTTAACGTTTTAAATAATATTATAAATAAAAATTTAAAAATTTTTACCTTTATAAAAATTAAATATAATAAATTTATATTTTTATAAATTTAATATTATTTAAATGTTTTATTTTTTAAATTTTATAATTAAAATTTAAATAATAAAAGTAATATTTCCTATTTATAAAATTTGTTTTTTAAAATCTATTAATTTAATTATTAATTATTTTTATATTATATTTTATAAATATATTATTTAAATTTATTTAATTTTAATATTATTGTAAAAAATTATTAATTTTAATAAACGGTTTATAAAGGTATAAACATTTATATAAATGGTATATTTACTTATAACGAAAAAATTTAAATTTTTTATGTTTTTAAGGTTAAAATTAAAGTATTTAACGTTTTTAGTTTTAAAAAAGTTTTTATTATTTTATTTATTACTATTATAACTTAAGTTATTATTAATATTAAGATTAATATTTTAGTTATTAAAACAGATAAAAGTTTAAGTAAATAAATTTATTATAAAAATTATTATAAAAAGAATATTAAAATTAAAATAATTTTAATTAAAAAATAATTAATTATTAAAAAGATTAATTAAAATATTATTATTATTTAATATTATTAATAATTATACGGATTATGAATTAGTTTATAATTAAATAAACGTAAAAAAAGAAATTTTTCGTGTAAAAATATTTAAAATCCTTAATAATAAAAATTATAATTTAGTTTTATAAAATTATTATTAAATATTTAATTAATATTAATTTGATTTTTTAAATAATTAAATTATTTTAGTTATTTTAAAATTTATAAGGTAAGACTTTAAAGAATTTAAGAATCTTTATAAAATAGTAAGAAATTTAATAGGTTAATAAGTAATTTTTTTAATAAAATAGGAATAATTAATTTGGTAAAAGATATTAATATTAAAAAAATTATTATTTAATTAATAAGTAGGTTAAAATTATATTTTTATATATATATATATTTTTTAATATTAAAAAAAGATATATAACAATCGAATAAATTTTATTTATTTAATTAAATAAATAATATTATTAAAATTATAAAGTATAATTAATTAATTAAATGGATATTTATAAGGTAGATAATTAAAATAATAAAGATTATTAAATAAATAATGGTTTAAGTTTAAAGATTGTTTAATAAATAATAACTTAAATAAATAGATTTAATAAACGGTTTGATTAATTTAATTTAATTTAATTTTCCCGTTTTAAATTATATAATTTTATGTTAATAAAAGTAAAAGAAACAATAAAGTTATTAATTATAATAATATATTATATTATCTTTATTATTATTATATTATAAAATATTTAGGAAGAATATCTAATATCTATAAAATGTGTATATTTATGTGTATACTAAGTGGGTCCAATGACCTTAGGTCATGTGATAAATAGGGTCGTAGTACCCTTAACGGTCTAGCTAGCTTGGCGGCAATCTTGCAATCTTGGCTCATTCGGCAGGGAAAGCAGGGAAGGCACCTATAGTGGATCTGGTTTTACAAATAATGGTAATTGGGTAACATCAATTGTAACTGGCAACTGCTGCAACTTTGCTGCAGATGCAAACATCTAATGTAACGCTTGTAACGCTTGGGAAAGCAATCCGTACCTATTAAGTACCAGCATGGGTGCAGAAGAAAAAGACTTACGCGTCACACACTGCAGCAACAACCATTGCAGGCAAAAGACACATTGTGTTACCTGAGAAGGTTGACCCATTACAAGAAAGGATTACTGTATCATGTATATTTTTATACATATTTATATACACCAAATGACAATCAATTCCTTAAACTCTCTTCCGATCTAGATTATCTTTCTTTGACAGAAACCCCATCGTCCAATCCATCCAATCATTTAGGATAAGCCGCACACTTACAACCAAACACACACACATCACACTCACAAGCTACCCTTATACTTGAGCCCTGCATGAACATCTGATTCTCATCATCTTCTTTTCCCCGGTCGAATTGACACCTACCATCATGCAAAAATAAATTAACTGACAAGACAGATAATCCAATATCGTGGCTAAGACTTTACAATCCGGGCTAGCTTTTCGTATCTTCCCCAACGTTGGCTGACTACCTGCGTCTTGTTCGTTCCCCGTTTTCGTATGGTCCACTACGAGGACGACGTGCAGCATCCACATCATGTAGGTCTAAACTACGGCTGAGGCGGCAGCTCTATTGCTGAATCAGGTATATCCGTCATTACAATCCTCGCCAAGTCCCTCAGCCACGTCCGATATATCCAACCCATTCATAATCTGTTAATCAACTCAAATACCTGAATATTTCTGCATTTGGAGAATATTACCGAGACGTACTCGAGGGTAGAATTCAACTTGACTTGAGAACGAGCACATGTCCGGCTAGCTCCACGGTTATTAGTCCTGAGCAGGAAGTTATATGTATCCTGTAGTATACAGCCAAGGAGGCTGAGGGTAGTACTAATATACTTCACCGCTAGCTATGAGGATTGTGAATACGAAAGACTACGAATATACCTACTATCACTTTTCGAAAGTCACTAACAACGAGTTTCAGGCTAACCCTTTCGTAATATCTCAGCTGTCTCTAAAGTCATCACTTTGCGGGGGGGAATTGAAAGGTGAATATTCATAACTAAATACCTATTATACGATACGCAGCCATGTTGGGAATCTGGTTTACAATGGCTAATATATCTCATTCATTAAGACCAGCAGATATATCATCAGGTTATCTCATGTGTTATAGGTATTTCAACTCTCAACTCGATATTCAAACAATACAAAGCATTGCGACTAGGTGAAGAAATTCAGAAATTCAGTTTCGTATTAGCTGTCGTGTCAGCTCGTATACCTACCAAAATTATTCGTCAACGCACATGATTAAAGCGCAATCTTGTTCCACAGGGGAGCCGCAATAAGTACCTAGGTACTTAGTGCTATGCGATATTCACACGGCGTTAGTCTAGGTTTCGCTGAGCCTGTTGATCTCCCAGCTACCTACCTAACCCAGGTAGTTGGCAAAGTGTCCAGGTCTTCGCTCACAGTAGTTAGTTTGGGAATTTGAAACCTCAATGAGGCAACAAGATCAGACATTCCAACTTGTGATAAGCAGGATCCCAGAGCTAAAGAGGCTAAGTCTCTCAAAGCTGAGGCTTAGAATACCTATATGATAACTTAGAATGACGATTACTATAAATCGAAAGAAGCTATTCTTGAGAGGGGGTGACTACGGGCCTGGATTCTCTTTAGTGTTATGAGCTTCATCACTTCCCTTTTCTTCGTTGAGACCGTACTCAGTTTTCAGTTCAGTGGACAGCTCCAAGCCCCTCTCCGCTCCAACTAAGAGAAGTGCAACAACACTCACTCCTAACCCTAACCACCATAACGTCTTCAGACTGACGACTGACGATATAAACTTGTACAACCTGATCCCATACATCTGGATCTAGGGTCTCGGATACACTACGTGCTTGGCTGGCGATGAATATGCCTTGCCATCTTGCAACTGTTTTCGCAAATCTAATGAAGATGTAAGAGACAAATTGTCGTTAAATACTGCATTAAAAATCACAGAAGGGATAGTGACACCCCAGATAAACCCGAATGTTTTGATAAATGAGAAGGCTGCAATTGCAGATGCCACATCCGACTCTGGCAGGGCAGCAAGGATAGCAGGAAGGATAACGGAAATAGTTATTCCTAGCCCCCCTGCGATGATAAGCTCGAAAAATGCCCAAGTAACTTTTGGAGTGTTTCGATTTAGCAGTGTGAAAAGACTATACGCAAGAATTGAAAGGGCGAAAGCGGCAGCATGCAAGGGTCGGTAAGCACCAGTTTTTGTAAGTAAGATGCCTGTAATGGCAGCGGAGAATAGTGTTCCTATCGCTAGAGGGAGGAAGTAAATGCCGGAATCAAATACCGTCGTAGTGAGAACAACTTGAAAGTAAACGGGAAGAAATAGCCCGGCTTTTTGAAGCAGAAGACTACCCAAAAATGCCAAGGCGTACGCAGCAGCTGAAGTTCGGTTACTAAATAGCCGTGTTGGTATACTAGGATTGCTCGCGAAATAGTGTTGTTGAATATGAAATCCAATCCAGCCAATGACTCCGAGGACCAAAGGAAGAATAATACGCCAGGAAGACCAAGGGTATTCACTCCCTCCGGTCACCAACGCAAATATGAATGCGACCATGCTTGGAATGAAAATGAAGTTCCCAAAATAATCAAGATTTCTGATACTGGCAATTCCGCTGCCCGATTTTGGGTCTATGAAAGAAAATATTGTGATCAGCGGTAGTGCATAGATTGGGAGATTCATAAAGAATATCCATCGCCAGTTCCTCTCGCCGAGAATGCCGCCTAAAACGGGACCTAGAGCAGCCGCAATGCCTGCCCAAGAATTGACGATTCTAAGATATGTCCCACGGTTGCGGAGCGGTACCAGATCACAATAGACGATATCGATCAAGACATAAATGCCCCCAGCACCAAGTCCTTGGGTTGGTCTTCCTGCAATGATCATGGCGCTGTTGTAAGCTGCTCCCGCAATTGTGCTGCCAACCGTGAAGAAGATAATGGACCCTAGGATGGGGGTCTTGCGGCCAAGAGTATTGGCCAATTGGCCGACTAAAGGTTGAACGACAGATGACGCGAAAACGAAAGAGTTAGCAATCCAGGTATATTGGGTAGAGCCTCCAACGTCTTGTACAATTGTTGGGAGAGCAGTAGTGATGATCATAACATCAAGGGCAGAGACAAACGCGAGAAGACAAAGAGAGATGATAGTAATCCAGAATCGAGTCGAGTGGGTTTTTCGAGGAGGAGAGGTTGGATGATTCGCTTCATTGCTAGGATTTGGAATAGTTCGTGAGGCTAACGGCATCTTAGTAGAGTCGTTGTTTTCTATCTTCATGATTTAGACGACGAGGTTGATTAGGGTTGGGCTAGTATTATTGCTAATATCGAGAGAAAGTGAGCCAGGTTGAGTGGACACAGCTTTATAATAATAGAAGGAAACCAACGCTTGGATGTGTAATTTTCTGTTTTTCTCCCTGTCGTCGTTTTATTTATAATCCCACGTGTGGTACCCTACTATCTACCTCACTTATTCATCCCAAGTGTTGGTAATTTATAAACAAAGGACGCACTTGTGCTTTAATGTGCCTACTACGTGCCCCTAGCCCTTACATTATTTAGTTAATTAAAAATAGAAAACATCCACACATGCATGTATCTACCTTTTATTGGCATGCAACACAATGGGATCTTGGTTCTAAGTTATGATATCTCATGTCCCCATCGTAGACCGGAATTAAGCAGCATAGGTTAGGTAGTCTAGCTTAAGGTGCCATTCAAGTATGGTAGGGTGCGTAAGAGATATTAAGTTCTATGAAAGACACCGAATATTCCAAAGCACATTTCCCCAGTAATTATCTGTTACCAACTGTCTTATTCAACCTGCTCTTCTGTGGTTATAGCTACCAATTACTCAAATCGAACAAATTTACGTTTCCCATTATGGATATCTAATATTGTGCCTCATCTTTTCGAGGACAGAAGTGGTACACGGTGTGCTTGACGAGTCTTACGCCTTTGAATCCAGAGCCAGCCCTTGAATTCGGTGGATTCTACGTAAGAACCCTACGCACATCGACCGCCAGCTCGGCGACAACACCGATTAGTACGGTCCAATTCATATATTTACTATATATTATACTGCCTGGCTGTCCTCCTGTATCCCACGTAACATTGGTGCGTCTAATGCCGCGACTTACGAAAACAGTTTGAAGCCACCTGGGCACGCTTTTTGGAACAGACCGTCAGGGTCATACTTCTTGCTGGCTTCTTGCAATTTGGTCCGATTCTTAAAACCATACGAACCTAAAGGATCCTGGTGACTGAAGGCGTAATTCATGTAGACGAATGGAACTAGTTGTTTCCGCTCAGTTGCGTCTGCTTTGATCTTGCCGAGTGCACCCTTCATCATCCCCAGCACCGCACTATCATCTTCCTTGTTCTTCCAATAGGAAAGAAGAAGAACCGAGACGAGTGGGCCTCCAGCGGCATCAAGGCCCAGAGAATTGCCCCCGTGTGTAGTTGACTGTTCCATTAATGAAACTGGGTACGGCTGCAGAGTTAAAGATAGTGTCACGTTCTCAACCCCCTTCAGGGGTTCAAGCTCAGCCGTATAGATCTCAGACGCGGCGTTCAGAGTCCCAAGATCCGCTTTGACTGTTATATTCATATAAGCGCATCTATCGACGCATTAGCACACCTCCTGAAACTTATCCCTAAATGCTGGGTAATCCGTGATATTAAAATTCGAAAGTTATCATAAGGTTTGCTTCAAGAAACTGTGTATGCATACCTCACTCGATCTTGGCCGGATGCACTTTGCTCTGCAGCCGCATCTTTCACGCTGTGAAGACGCATCTTATTGAGAGCATCAATTTGCGGTTGAATTTTGGTAAATGGATCAAGCTCGGGTGGGTTTTCGACTGCCTGAGTGTAATAGGGCTGGTTTAAACACATGATGCTGTTGCCTACCAAGGATGAATAGCCAATGCTCAACATTAGATGTGTTTCTTTGCTTGCATTCGGTTTGTGGAGTTCCTTAACCAGGGATTCAAGCTGACTTGGGAAGCTTGAAGGGAAGTAAAACACAGTATCGCCCCATATAGGCCCTTGTTTGAAGGTCCATATGTCGAAACGAGTCACAATCCCGAGATTATTTCCTGCTCCTTTCAGAGCACGCCACAAGTCCTCATTATCTATGGCATTAGCATTAACAATCTCACCCGAGGCCAAAACGACTTCGAAGTTGAGCACATTGTCACAAATGAATCCCCCGCGAGTAGAGAAGAAAGATAGGCCGTCTTGAAGACATTAATAATGCAACAGGATTGAAGAGGTTGGAGGACAAACCCTGAAGTGCTAGTCCACCGATATCCCCTATTGCTGAGCGGCTACCAGTTACAGAGAGCCCGGAGGCATCTAGCTTTTCATACACCTTACCCCAGCGCTCGCCTGCCCCTATTTGGACAAAGCCATCTTTGATATCAATGCCGGTGAGACGTCGAAGATCAAGGGTAACGCCTCCTTGGATATTGGCGGAGCCCGGAAGTGGTTGCATCCCAGCGCCACGAATGGCGAACTCGACGCCTATTGGTTTTATCGTCTTTAAGAAGATACTAATATCTTCTTTGGCCTGGGGTTGGAAGATAAATGCAGGCTCGAGGTCACTCTCTAGTCCAGACAAATATGAGGAGTTAATCTCTTCATATTCTTCAGAACCTGGCTCCCAAATACTACTACTAGGGAGAGCTTGCTTCAGAGCTCCAAGAGCCTCGAGAGTCTTAGACGTAGCGATTGGAAAATATGGTAGTTGATGATTCGAAGGATAGTAGGTTAGTACCAATTGAAGGATGGAGGGAATATCAAAAAGTGAGAAGGCCTGGGAAGGATTACATAGGTTATATAGGGCATAGTTTTAAAAGACATACCGTTTTGAAATGAAGATTAGACTTGTTGGAAGGGATGACGGTTTGGTCGGCTAATTTGAAGTCGCTTTCCGAGAGAAGGGATATGCTACGTTCTACCTTATCTGTATTGGTACAGATACTATATATAAAGCGCCAATGGGGTAGCAACTTTTCTTTGTATTCCGCACAAGTAAACCAACTACGGTTGTTATAACGTAGCATCCTTCTCTAGGGAGAGCTATTTTGAACTAATTCGTGAGAGTTGTTTCCCCTTGTATAAGTTTAACCACCATTTTTCCTGGTATCAGGGGGAAGACAGCGCAAGGTGTGGGTTGGGTTGGTCTTTGTTTTCCGCTGGCGAAGAAAAATCAGCCTCATCCAGTGCTTTGTGTTATATACCAGGTAGGTAGGTAGGTACCTATCTTGTCCCATAAATTTTAATACTTATAATCCATGATGTTTCATTTCTTTCTAATTATTCGTCAAATTATTTCAATGGTGTACCCCCTATGAGATGGGCTAGATGCGTTAAATACTCGCGAGACAATTATCGAGGACGTACCGTCATCCCACTTTACCCATATTAATCCGAGTTATGATGTTAATCTTATTCTTGATAATGTAACTTCCGGTAAAGAAGCAGTTCTAAGAGGTACGGACCCCGTAGATGGGTCGTTTGAGGTTTAACGACGGACCATAAACATTTAGGTGGGAATTGCCTTGCTACTGGACTTATATGGCAACTCTCAATGTCATCGATCAAAGATGCACGGACTAGACTTGGACATATTTCTATCGAGATAACCCGAACTTTAGCCGTGCGTATAAATCTTGGAATCTTCAAGATGTACAAGCATTTCCCTGTTTTCTCCGCTAATTTCACCAGATCTCCAACTCACCTAAAGCTTCTTGATGCCCACCACGATATCATACGAGCTATATTACGCCTTCACTTCAAGTCAAAAGAGGCTATATGCACTACTACATAGATCTTATTAGATGGCAAAGCTTAATGATCTATGTATTGCCACCAAAAGGGTTCTGATTTCTTTAGCAGCCCTAGCACCTAGTGGTCAGCAGACAATTTAACATGGCGAGGTTAGCGACTTTAGCTTACTGGATAGGTTCTCATTATATCGAAAATCTCATAAGACGGCCGTCCCTCTCCGACGTCGTCGAACATGAACTCATTGGATATTTGATCTCATGTTTCATTCTCATGTAAAACTTAATGCCCGAGGTTCAACATCTAAACAGGATATTGGAAGAACCCTTGGGAGGGTCTAGAAGCAGGCAAGCGTGCCTAAGTGGGCTCGGGGAGCTTGCATCAAACTCATGAAGGATTAATAGCCTTCTGACGAGGTTTCATCGACAGGTACGCGACGCGCCATTATTGGCTATTTTAACATGGCTGGGTGACATGCATAAGAGACCATTGGTAAAGGTTGCGCCAGGTGATGTTGCCAAATACAGCTCATGATAAACTACATATGTACCCAAGCCACCCTTGTGACGTGCGGGATCGAGAGCCACGCTACCCCTGGTCTTCTCATATATACAGATTAGTGTAGCAGGAAGCTTGAAGCAAAGCATGTGAAAGTCCGGACATTCACAAGCTTCTAGAAAATGGCGACGGGCCTCAAGATACAACAACCTCTATATATATCAATAGATGCCCGAGCAAAAACAGCTCGCTAACAAGTCACGACTCCTTTTCGTTAACCCCCTCTCTCATATACCTCTGTACCTACTCATCATAGGACAAGGGTTTTCGTTACTCTCCACTGCGAAGCGGAGCCCTCTCCTTCACTAATGCAGTCGAAGTTTGGGGTTGTTTATTAGCATCGTCAGCGACATCGGATTCTAACCCATCGACGAACCACCATCGCCAATCTTACAAGGCTAGGGTCATCCCGTTTTGCCGTTCCCTGTATGCACGTTTGATGCAAGGGCTACGGCCGTCATACTCGAATATCCACGAGGCATACAGCACAGAACCGCCCACTATCGTCAAGATTCAGCCAGTCCTTCGTCCTTCTCGTCCCTTCATTGCCTTAAAAAAGTAGACGCCCTCCCCGTTATCTATCCACACGAATATCCGTCCCGCAATGGTTCCGGGCTCCTGGTTTTCTTGAACTCCCCTTGAAGAATTACACGCCGCCAAGCCCCTGAGACGCCGCTCTCCATATTCCACTCTCGTACGGATCCGTACCTAACCTAACCTAAACTAACAATAGTGAAAGGTACGTGGGGTCTTTTTTTTTGTTTTTTTGTTTTGGCGCGCGCACTGGCGGGGTCGTGCCGGTCACGATAATTGTCTCTGCTTCCCGAAAAAAGTCAAGCGACTCCAGACCGCTTCTTTCACCCAACAAATTTAGATGATAAACACTCAATAAACCACTCTTAGCTCTACAGGGCTAAGAGGGGCCAATACAAGGTTGCTCCGTCGTCTAAAGTCATCCCCATATTCTATCTATTTCATACCGTGTATATTCCTGGCACACATTGCCCTACTTTTTACATTCGGTTACCATTTTTGAATAACTCATTATTTGTGTCTTACAAGACTACTCCTGAGTTACAGGGTTAAGAAGAACCACAACCAACTTCGGAACGAAAGCGCTTATGGGTCCGCATACGCGGAAATATTCGTATATTCGTCTATATCCACCAACCCCCATCTTCACCGTTTTCTGCAGATTGAGTTCTTACCCATCACTCCATTTAGGAGTGATTTGAACTCAGACCGCAACTTTATATTCTAGCTCCCTAATTGTCCGCTCTGAGTCGCCGCCTCACCGCGGTGATACATTAGAAGAAGAAAAGAAACTAATGCGTCTCTTCTTTAAAGAGGAGCCCATCTACGCACTCCCGTGATTGATCATTCATATTTCTTACTTAATATTCTATATTCTATAAACCTCGGTATTATATTTGGGGTAACATATTTTCGATGTATCAAGAGAATAGCTATCCCAGCCAAGATGTCACGGCTCACACCATTACCAGCAGACCTTCACAGGTCGCAGTCGACCACCAGTGTCGATACTACATATCATAGCTTTCACAATATCGAACTATACGAAACCCCCGCCGTGTCTACAACTGAAAATAAAATGTTTTCGCACAAAGATGATAGACTTGAATTCAAGCCTATAATTCGCCATGACTCCGGTTACGAATCCATATCTCCCCGGTCTAGGTCTATTGAATCTCGGCCTGCTCAACGGCGCAATTCCACCATGTCTACAAGTTCCTCCCAGACTCGACCGCGAACACGGCCATCAGTGCGCCGTGCTGCAAAGTCCACCTCAACCTCACACTTGAAACATTTAAGCGAACAGCCTTCGCACTCCGTCCAATTACCGCAACAGCAGACTACATATTACTACTTTCCACCACCGGAATCACTTTCTGGAGGTCTAGACGAGGAAGAAGATACGCACGACACCGAGCTGTCGTATCCTCCTCCCCCGCAAACGACCCACTATTGGACCAGCGACCATACTAGGCGTCTTGAATATGCTGCCATTGATGCTGCGAGTCGAGGCGTTAAAGGCTGGATTATGAAGCACATCGTCCCGGATTGCTTCGTGCCCAAGGCGAACCGACGAGTTGGATTTGACGACGACACCGGCAGCGTCCGGCGGTACCGGCTCGAGCTCGACTGCGACGAGGCCGGAGAGAAGGGAGAAAATAGCGGCAAGAAAATGGGCTGGCTCCTAGGCCGATAATTTGACGACGAATGAACTCATGCGACGACAGACGACGAGTTTGAGGATCACGTTATTGCATCCGCATGGTTGAGGCGTTGTATACCCACTTTGATTTTATTTTTCGATATTTTCGATATTCCTTTTTTTACTGTTTTTAATATCAAGACGTCTTTGGAGTCTTTTTCGACGCATTATTTGCATTCGGTTGAATATGGCGGCACTAAAAACGGGCATCATAAGACGCGTAACCAGTTCCGAGTCAGTTTACACCGAGATTGATATACAGACAGAGTATGGGTTGAACTCATTACATATTACATATTGGCAATACCACTAGGGTGGAGGGCCTGTACAGCTTTGGAGGTTGCATTGAGAAGGCTCAGCGAAACAGCGAGCGAATGGATATAAGACATGTAATGATTTAGCAGATAGCTATTTCTTAATAATTACATTTGACAGATACGTCAAGTTATCACGGATTGATTCAAACTACTCAGTATCTGTATTCGTAGGTGAGTGCTTGGGTGTTTTTACAAAAAACTTCGAGATGGATCCAAGTCGTAGGGCCCGTCTCGTATATTTTCATCCAATCACTTCCCATACCCTATCAGTTCAATCTTCATCGAATGTCTCCTCGGCGCTTAGTGTTTGTACATCCGGAAATTCGTCACCTGACTCGAGATCCTCTTCGGTCTGAATCTTTTCTGAACGAGGAGGCGGGTCAGCTACACATCGAAGTTCAGAATCAGTTTTCCATCCATCCAGCTCAAAAGGGGGTGTAGCCTACCGCTGCTTAGTTTTGAATCAACAAAACGCTTGCAAGTGTCCGATCCTTTCTGAAGGACGTCAATCTTCTTGGTAAGTTCATCTCGCATCACCCGGCTTTCCCGTGATTCCCCGGCGATGCGCTCTACCAGTTCGGGTGACATGTTGAAGACTGCTACGGGAGAGAGGATATTCGAAAGAGCTGCGAGGAGTTTCTCCTCGATGACTTCGGTAGCAATGCTGTCGACGAAACGCTTCATGGCAATCTAGGTAAGAGAGCCATAGTTAGAAACCAATAACAAATCACAAGAGCCTAAAAGGGGGCACTTACATTATAATAAGCATTCATGCGATCGAGAGCTTCGGAAGCTGCAAGACGCTCGATATCGAGCTCCGTGGTCTTACCTAGCCTATCGAGAAGCGTATTGAAGTTGTAAGACCGTTGGTTCAGAGGCATTGACCCCTCAAGAGACGATAACCCGAAGAATTCTTGTATGATTCGTGAAAACTCATCCCTTTGGGATTGACCCACCCTCTGGATGGTCTCCGCGTACTCTCGATTGTAGGTGATTGGGTGCACACACCGGTGTGAATTCAGCAGCTCGGTAGTCTTGGTTTTGGCTTGAGCGAGAAGGTCGTCGAGAGCAGGCTGACAGACCTGATCAAGTAAAGACCTTCCGATAGGTATGTCCGCAACATAAATCACGACGTGCTCGATGAATTTCTCCACGGCCCTCCAAG